CCCCAAAACCCCAAAACCCCAAAACCCCAAAACCCCAAGATAACCCTTCCCAATTGAACCCCCTTCCTTCCAAAATCCCAGTACAAATCCAGACCAAAACTGACCTCCCTCCCCTGAAATCCTCCACTCCAGCCATGCTGGCTGGAGTGGGCTATAGTGGAGATTGAGTGGGTGAGGACGGAAGGAAATTTGTGTGGGAGTGGGATAAATGTATCCATCTTTAGGTACCTATTAAAATACCTCCATTCAGAACACGCCTAAGCAAGAAGATCTTTGAAAGTATATCTCCAGGCCTCTAATATTGTCATGAATATATTTAAAGACAAGACCTGAGCGTGTTAATAAAGAATGGAAGAAGTTTAGAACGAGCACTTCTACAAAGAAAAAGAGTAAAAATTGCACTATCTCTTGGACCATTTTCAAATTATTTTAGAACACGAAAATTCCCATCAACTTATCGTTTGAAATGCTTCTCCTTTTTTTTAGCTCTGTTGTACATTGTTTCAGAGATCTAGCATATAAGTACAATCTTATTAATAAGCTTATTATTTACATTGCTAGCAAGTCCTGGCTTAATTTTTAACCAGAACAGTCTTAACCTACCACTATGTTAGCCAGACCTTATAATTTCTCAAGAATCAGAGTACTTGGCTTCATAGTTCATTTAAAAATTCTTTAACTCGAAAGGTAAGAATCGAAAAATTCTTCTTAACTTATTTTTCCATGCTCAATGAGAATTAAATTTTTAAGGTTCCTCTGAACGGAGTAAAAATCTTATTTCTCATAGAAGATGAGCCTTTAGAGTACAGAAGTGCTGAATTCACCATAGAAATGATCTAGAACCCTCAAGAATATTTATTCATCTATAATAATAAAGTAGTAAACCTATTTAGTTTTGGCTAATTATTGCGGTGGACAGCCATGGCTATCTTATCGCCTAAACTCGGGAAAGGGCTCGGTAATTTTATAGTTGGCCAAGAACTAGAAAATATGCAAATCATTAGTTTTGGTACTTATTGCAGCTAAATTCGAAACAAATTTTCCACAGGAATAATAGTAATAGCCATAGAAATTTCATATATTTTAACCCTGACTAGTCCAGAAGAGGCCAATAAGAGAGAGATTTTAATAAAAGAGGTAAAAATTTTATACTGTTCTAAGGCTTGAGGTTTATCTAAGTTCTTACAAATCTCCTAGCCTAATGCTTTAAAAGATGATATACTTATTAATATGCTTCCCGAAATATGATGGCCCAGATGAAGAAAAATAAATTTTCACTCTTCAAAAATTACCGAAAGAATTTACCTCTAATCATGAAAAATCTAGTAAACAAGATTGCTGAAGAATTCTGGATGCACAAAGACTTCTTCCAATTCTAATAATATTTAGTAGACTTTGGCCTCAGACAAGCTCAGAATTATTTGAAAGAAAATTAAAAAGAAATTCTGTTAAGCTAGCAATTAAGGTTAAAGCATTCAGTAAAGAGTCCAACAACTTCAGAGTAGACTCCTCTGCTCTCTTCAGGCAAGCTGGCAATGAATTGATCAAGCCCGTTCTCAGTAAAGAACCTGAAGACCCTTCCGATGTTCTTATTGAAGATAATATTCTCTAGTTTTGAATGAGAATATTTTACTAGAGCCTTGGATAGTAGTCTTATGGACTCGTTCTTGTAATTGAACAGACTCTTTGTTATCTTGGTATACTTGTTCATCGAAAGCCAACAGATCAGCTCTCTGAATTCTTCAGTATCCTCTTCTGCGATATCAGGATGATATAGTCCTTGTCTTTCAGCATCTTCCAATAGTGTTTGCTTGAGGTCTTCAAATGGAATTTTAAGTTTGCTTGGCTTCTTGTCTCTTGAGCTGAATCAACTAGCTATAAACTTCTTGAAGGCTCTGATTATTCTCTTGTTAATCACATCTTTGCGATGCTTAAGACCTGGACCACTCGAACTTGAAGTATTTAAAAGAATGTTAATGGCAGTTCAAGACTGATTAACAATTTTATTGGTCTGGAGTTGAGGGTTATCAAAACTCTCTAATCTTGGCTGATGGTGAGTATTCAGACTGCTAATTACAGAGGAATTTCTATCTCTTCTTTTGGTTTGCCTTGTTTTTCACTGTTTGGGATCAAGGCCGAATGGGCCATTTGATAAAGAAATAGTATTTCTAGTTATCTTGAATATTTTCATAGGTCTGAAGGACTCCTTATCAGATTTATCAGAGTCCAGATTTCACTCCTTGGGTATGAAAAGGGACTCTGACGTTATATCTTTGTGTGTAAAGTTTTGACTTAAATAATGGGTCATAAAATCATATTTTATTAATGGCTCCACCGTGATCGATTCTTTGAATTGATGATCATGATTCTCAGTATTCTTAACCAGAGCTTTGTTTTCAAATCTATCAACAAATTGATCCTCGGCCATAGATAACACAATTCTGAGGTCTGACTTCAAAGATTCTTCACGCTTGAGAAGACTATCGTTGTTTCCTTTGATAAACTCTAAACAGTGTAAATTAGAGAGCCTGATCTAACATTAAAGATTATATGCTGATTATTATATAAAGAATTAATCAAATTTTAGCTTCCAAATAGCTGAAAAATGAAGAAAGTGTTCACTTCTAAAAGCAGAAATTTTGGAAACAATATTGTAAGGACATATGGATATGATTCGAAAAATCTCTGTTGCCTTGCTCAGGTGCATCAGCATTCTTTATTTTTAACAAAGAAACACTAGTTAAATCATAAAACCCTTTGAGTAAAGTATTCTATAAATATCTTGATAAACTCTTTAGAGTACTCTTGAACTCGCACCATTCTTCTAAATACTTAAACCCTTTTATTCAAAAAGTATTTTCACCTTCAGCTCTCAAATACCCCAAACTCCTCCAAATCATCTTTAAATACTTTCAAATCACCATAACCTCCAATATCTTCTATATCCAGCCTCTCTGGCCTTCATCTCCTCCAATTCTTACCTTCTTGCAAATCTCCACCGTAACTATACATTGTTATTAATATTTCAACCTCTTTTTCCTCCTATGGGGTTTTGGGGTTTTGGGGTTTTGGGG